CATGCAGTAACTACCTAATGCCATTAGGATGTTTGTAAAGAGGGAAGGCTTGTTTTATGGAATATTATTTAATACTATATAATGTTGAGAGAACATAATCATTATGATATTATCAAAAAGCATGCCAGATACTCATGATGTAATCATTACAATGTAATCATCATAATGTAATCAACTGAGTATGTATCTGCACTTTATTTTAACCTCAAAGTTTATGTTAGTTATTAGCCCTGGTTGTATGACTATCCTCCTTAATTCACAGCTGAGTATTTTAAAAAATCCAAGTAGAGATGGTTGTGCCACAGTTATGTTCGGCAGAGGGACCAAACGATAAAAGAAATGAGTAACAAATTTATCATCTAGGGGTGTGGATCAAGGGAAACTGATGGTGAATGGTTGAGGGAATGATGATGCTTAAATGACAAGATATTGTTAAACGATAGGAAAATGTGTAAAAATTAGCCTTGGTTGTAACCTCGTTGCAATAAAGACTGAATTTGGATCTACACAAGCGGCTTCTGACTTTCGACTTTGGCGGGGAAGGAAAATCCACAACAGTTTCTTATTTTGTGATGGCTCAGCTGTAAAAGAAATTACACTTTATTCATAAAAATGTATACATTTTGAGTTTATTCGGTATGTACGAGAGAACTATTTACATTTGGATAGCTATTTACATTTGGATAGCTATTTACATTTTGTTAAATTTCCTCAGTATAATATTGTAATGTACTGTACTCGGAATACGGAATATATTCTCATTGTATTATTTTACAGTTTCATTCCTAATTCATAAATGCACCCCGGCATCTTGTTAAAGCTAAAAACTAAGATGAATCCTGTCACTTTTGCATTTGATGGAGTTTTGCTGGCTGTTAAGCTGGTGTTGGAACACACTGTGAGAATGACGCATATTCAAAAAAAGCAGAGAAAGGGCCATTTTTGAGTGTCCATGCAATACTTTTGGTAACAGAGCTTCAATATATTAGACCATTATACATTATATTGCCAAAAGTATTGGGACACCCCTCCAAATCATTGAATTAAGGTGTTTCAATCACTTCCATAGCCACAGGTGAATAAAGTCAAGGACCTAGGCATGCAGACTGCTTCTACAAACATTTGCGAAAGAATGGGTCACTCTCAGATGCTCAGTGAATTCAAGCATGGTACCATGATAGGATGACACACGTGCAATAGGTCCAATTTTGAAATTTCCTCGCTACTAAATATTCCACAGTCAACTGTTAGTTACGGTGGTATTTTAACAAAGTGGAAGAAATTGGGAACAACAGCAACTCAGCCACAAAGTGGTAGGCCATGTAAAATCACAGAGCAGGTACGACGCATGCTGAGGCGCACAGTGTGTGCAGAAGCCGCCAACATGTTGAGTCAATAGCTACAGACGTCCAAAGTTCGTGTGGCCTTCAGATTAGTTGAAGCACAGTGCGTAGAGAACTTCATGGCATGGGTTGCCCAAAATACAAGAACATATAAGGGGAAAACAAAACTAATGACTACTATTTAATAAACAGACCAACATGTAGTTGAGGCATGCCTTGAGCCCATGATGGTT